CACTTAGTTAGCAAGATGGTAATGAACCACAGGGTCCTAACTATACTGGGAGGAAGTAAGGTTTAATACGCTATTGCCACCTTCAGCCTCTTCCATACTACCAAGCCATGGGACATACCTGGACTTCCACTCCATCCTACACATCACTCCAGTTTGGAGAGGTCCACAATTCCTCATCCAAAGACCTTGAAATCAAATGTCTTTCAGAATTCAAAATCTTTCTGATTAGGAAGATACATTTTACCCAGCACTTCAGAAGGATGTGGGGCAGCACCCTGTAATCAAACATGTTAATACTTCTGCAGCAAAATGCAGGAATATTCACCTTAGTGTGATCAACAAAGACCATAAAAAAAATCTCAATATCAGTTCAGGTCAGATTTATGTGTCTGAAAAAAATACTATTTTCTAAGCTTTTAGGACTTTTAAACAGTGGTAAAGGACTACAGATTTGTATTACCACATTTCATTCAATCAACTCACTTCCTTTCCTTACCTAGTTTCCTTACCTGTCATATTCAGTTACAAGATTAATTTCTAGACAAATCGACAATTGGCAATACTTTTTGAAATAATTTAATCAAACCCCTTATTTAGGAAAGTAAAGCCCAGAGAAAGGGTATCATTTGTTTAGGATGAAACTAGAACACACAGGGCTCCTGTCTCCCAGACCTACTATTCTTTTGTTTTCTCTCTCTGTCTCTCCCCGCCTCCCCCCCTCTCTTTTTCTCTCTCTCATTTTTTTATACCTTTCAAAAATAATTATAAACTCACGGAAATTTGTACAAATAATATAGAGTTCTATGTAACCTGACTAAGCTTCCCCTCAATGGTGACACTATATATACAGCGGTAGTACCATCTCAAAATCAAACATTTAACGTTTGAACATTAGTGATAACAAAATAGTGACAACTATTTTCAGCATTTTAAAGATTGCATTAATTTGTGTGTGGGTGTAAACAGTTCTGTGCAATTTTATCCTTGTTCATGTAACCACCATCACAATAAAGACACCAAACTGTTCAAAAATCCACTTCCAAAAACCACTTTTTTGATTTATACTTCTCCCTGCTGCCTACACTGTCCTTGATTCTAGCAACCACTAATGTGTTCTCCATCTATTTCTGTCATTTTGAGAATGTAACAGTGAAATCATATAGTATATAAACTTTTGAGATTGGCTTTTTCTTTAATTGTAGTAAAAATGCATGTTATATTTACCATTTTAATCATTTTTAAATGGCCTGTACCCCAGTTCTTGTATGCATAAATAAATAAATCTTTTAAAAATAAAATAAAATATGGTGTGAGGTTTAGGTCAAGCTTTATCTTTCTCCCTACGATTTTCAATTGTTCCAGCACCATCTGTCAAAAAGACTGTCCTTTGATTGGATTGTTTTTGCCAAAAATCAATTGGGTACATTTGTGTCAATCTATTTCTGGATTCTCTATTCTGTTTCATCGATCTGTGTCTTACTCTGCCAATACTACACTGTATTGATCAATGAAGTATGTATAAGACTTAACATTAAGTAGAATGATTACTCCCAATTTTCCCCCCTAACACTGTTAAAGCCATTCTGACTCCATTTATGTGTCTCACTTTACTTTCCTGCACTGTTTATTCCTGCTTTTAAGGTGCTCTCTATGACTAGTAAAGGTAAGCCTGCCTGGGGAAGGAAGTAGGAAAAAATCAGAAAGGAAAAAATAATATACTATTACCAACCTAAAGTATCATCCATGTGATTTCCATACATCCATCCTTTAATGACATTCCTATTTCTTCATGAAAGTTTCTCTACCAGGTCACTTCAGTACCTCTAAATGTAAGAGCTATTATAACGCTACTATTCATTAGCCACAAATCATTTCTTTCCTTCTGTTAAGATGTTTGCAAATACGTTTGTGTCCAACAGAATGTCTATTCATCAAAACCAAGATTCATATTTTAGACTTCTTTACATTCCTCCATAAGCTTCAATAAACATGCAATTAATTAATCAAGGATAATTTATCTCATTGAAATTTATAACAGAGAAATCCTAGAAAATCTAGAACAAGGGTTTAAAAAAGCTAAATTGCTACGCGGTTCCTAGTCATTATCTCATCAAATCTCAAGAATTTAAATTTAATCTCACTTTTGCTAAGCTGTTACAGAATATATTTCTGGGCTCTTTTCCCTTTACTTAATGGGACAGCTAAAGTAAGGAAAGAGAAAATTAAAATATAATGAATTATGGTGATTTCTCTTTTTTTTTTTGCTCCTATTAGCGAAATATGTTATAAATCATCTAAATGTTAGGATTACTAGATATGATTCTCCCTAACATACAGTGAAGATTTAAACAAAAAGCAAAATGACCAAAGGGGTTAGAATACTAACAATTCAATAATAGAAACTTAAAATGTGAAATGCACTATACAAGAATTTACCAAGTTCCATTTCCTATTGCCCTAACAATTCCCTTGGCTAACATACTCAGAGCATCTTCCTCTTAATTATCAATGTTTTGCTGGCAAAATGTCAACAAAGTAGGTTGTAAAGCACATATAGCTACTTAAACTATTTTTTTTTTTGCTATAGTTTACAATAAGCACAAACTGCCTACTCTAGGCATCAAATACCTAATACTTTGCTAAAACAGACAAATACATGATCCCCTCCCCTAAACTCTCTTTATTCATTGACTATCCAAAAGTTGAGATTATTTAAACTATTTGCAACATGCTACCAAAGTAAATATAATAAAACTACACACAGACTAGCTTTCTTTTCTTACCAAATAAAGCAATTCATATATGTTACCACAACTTTCTTAAAACTTAATTATTTTGTCCCTCTCCAATTCTTTCACTATACTACGGGACTAGGTAGACAGGGTAGGCTACAATCAGGAAAGTTGCACAGCATTAGTCATAAAAGCATTCATCTAATATATCTCAGTAGCTTCAGAAGGGATGTTCTGGTAACATCGATGCTCTGGTAACTAAGTAGATGAATTGCAATTCTCAGATAATAAGATCTTTTCAATTCAATGCTTTTTTTATAGAAACTACAAAATGCAATATACTACTATAACTCCCACTACTAATTCTACCATTCCTACCACACACGCAGAAACCAAATATTTGGTGAGCAAAAATTAAGAAAGTTCATAGTTCAGTGCTGTGAGAATATGGAATAACCTGAACTCAAACACTATCCATGAGAGGATAAACTGGTACAACCACTTTGGAAAACAATTCACTGAACAAGTGCATACATTCCTGTATCCTCTCAAGGTTAATAACCAGGAATCATTGCAAGCATATTCAAAACAGCATTTTTCACAACACCCAAAACTACAAACAACCCAAATGCTGACTGAAAAAAGACTGGCATATTCATACAACAGAACTTCATATATCAGTGCAAAACTAATAAGGTATAGTCAAACTCAACATGAATAAACCTTAGAAATGAGGAATAAAAAGCAAGTCATAGCAAATTATATGCAGTAAATTCATATGTATAAATTCCAAAAATAAGCAAAATTAAATATGTTACTATTTAGGGAAACGTTCGTGTAATTTTTGAAAAATGTAAACACAAAACCAAGTATACCGGGGGTCAGGGAGAGGGACCAAGGAGTACACAGCTAGCTCAAAAGGACTGGTACAGTTTTTAAATTGAGTGGTTTCATTATTAAATTTTAAAATGTGTATGTATGTATTCTATAGAATTTCTAGAGAACTAACATTCCAATGACAGGTCAAGTTTAGCTCACTGATAAGATGATATTCCTGATAATCAAGAATGATGCCAAGAAATAAAATTACCTTACCACTGTTATTGGGTAATTTTGTATAACAAAGAAATAACAGGTATCTCATAAAAAATTAAAGCAAGGAGAGAGGCAAGGGAAGTGGGGTGTCTAGAAAAGGGCAACTTGATGGGTCCTTTTGATGGAAATGTTCCACATTTTGGCTGTCAATATGCTGCTTGTGCAAGATGTTAACATTGGGTGAAACTGGATAAAGGGTACATAGGATCTCTCTGTACCTTATTTCTTCCACTTACATGCAAATGGAATACCTGAACCTAAGCTGGATCCTGTATTAGAGAGGGAAGAATGAGATAAAGGACATTTTGTGTCAATTAACAACACTGGAATAAATGGTAGGTGAAATAAAAGTATTGTATCATTATTACATGTGCCTAAGTTGACTATTGCAAAGTAGATAAGTAAAAACTATCCCTAAGCTTAGGAGTAAAAAATCACGATGTATGTAATCAACTGTCTACTGATTCAGGAAAGAAATGTGTGTGTGTGTGTTTGTGTGTGTTATTTAATACAGACATCTGATACATGTGAACAGTGTATATAGGTGAATCTGATTAAAGGGTATACAAGTGTGTTCTTGCATTATTTCTGTTCTCCCAACGTTTCAGTATGTTTGAAATTTATCGCAAATAAAAAGGTGGAGGTTTATTTTATGTGGAAGCAAAAGCTGTGGTTCTTAAAACTATAATCGCAGGTTTCACAGTAGTCCAGCATAAGTGATAAAAATTCCAAAAGGATAATGATTACCCACTAGGATATTCATTGGAAAGTAATGTCTACCTTCAGCCTATCTCCTCCTTCCCATTCTTTCTAGAGGTGACCTTTTCAATAGTGTGAACTGAAAATGAATCCATTCCTCTTTTAAAAGGCCATTTTTAGAAAGTGACTCAATAAACCCAGATTGCTACCAGATTTCTCCACAAATTACTGAGGCATCAATAGTTATGCAAAAGTGCCTAACTTTTTCTAAAGAAAACCACTTATCCGATCAGTGGAACAAATGGAAGAAGAATATTAAGGTGAGAAAAAAAAAGAGACAACATCGGGTTTGTCTACGGGGCTAAGGAAAGGAACCGGTGGAAAGAGGTCAGCCAGGAGCCAGGAAAGGTGTGTCGGTCAGGAAAAAAGATTGGAGTGGCTGCAAGAGTGTCAGGGGGAGAGGAAGTAGCTCACCTGGCTGTGGTAAGCAGAGGATGCCGAGTCCCCACCAGCTTCCGCACCTGCATAGCGATGTTGCTGAGCTCGTCGCTCAGCAGGCAGCGGAGGCTCATGAAGGACGTGGGATAACCCACGATCTTCTCCGCCTCTGATACCACCTGGTTCCAGTGGGTAGGGGACCTGGAGGACTGACCACGCCTGGAGCCCACTGAAAAGACTGTGTCGAGGGCCCCAGACCACCAGAGGTGTCGCGGACCCGAGGTTCCGAGATAACGGGGCAAGCGCAGCAACAACTGCTGAAGGCTCATAGTTTGGGTCTGGGAGTTTCTGGGACCTCGGGATGTCTGGAGGTGGCCCGGGAAACAACCCAGCGACAGAGGCGGAACTTGCAGGAACTAGAAGAAGCGACGACTCCTGAACCTTAGAGGAGGGCGGTTTCCTGGAGCCGTGATCAGAAACAAACTTTAACTGCAGCTTTCTGCTAAAGCTAGAATGACAACCTGCTCAGCATTGCCCGGGGCTTGCTGGGTTAGAAACCACGGAGCTGCCTAAATGGGGGCCGCCATATTGGAGGCGTGGAATGCGGCCTGCCGTAAAGGCGGAGGCCGGCTGTCCAGGAGCAAAGCAAGTGTGCCGCTTTACGGCGCAGCCGGGGACGCCCACAAGGGGCGGGGCTCGGAGGTGAACCCCGGAAGGCTCGCGGTAGGGAAGCCCTTCGGCTCCTCCTACCCCCTCCGCGGTCCTGCGACGGTCCTGGGTCCCGGCGCAGAGGTTGTGGGCGCTAGAGTGTGTGCAGGAGTGCTGGAGCCCTACCCGCTCTGAGCATTGCCGGCGCCAACACTGGTGTCTACCAAGCCGGTGTCTACCAAGTCTTAGCGGCCCCCTGGAGGAAAAGGAGTGAGGCCGTGGCTCCCGCTCTGCAGCCATCCTGCGGCCCCCTTCCCCAGTCCCTAGCAGTGGTCGTGGACCCGCGCGGGGCGGCTCCTGGGCTGCAAGGTTTCTGAGCCCAGTACGGCAGTCTGGATGGGAGAGGTGGGGGCGAAGTCCTGGCCTGGTGCTGAACTCTCACGCCCTCAGCTCCCAACCAGACCAAAGGAGGTGTGGCCCAGCAAAAGTGTTCCTTTATTCCCCAAGAATATGCATGATCCTTATCCTTGTCCTTGCCTTAGTCACTTCTAGGTGAGCTTCCATTTCCTCTTGTGAACAGCCCAGACAGAACCTGCGTATCTCCACAAGGATGTAGAGAGCATGGAATGAAACGTTGCCTGGGCCCAACCAGCCTCTCTACTCACCTTCCATGGTTTAAACTATCCCTAACTCCATTGCTTTCCACTTATAGCTCATGTATTATTAACTTACTTAATCCTCAAAACAACCCCACTACATAGATATTTTCCATGTGTCATATTAGGACCTTGACAGCTTCTTTGGCGGTTCTAATGGGAAAGCAGATATATATATATATACCTTTAACTGAAAAACTGTCTTCATTCAGGGAAGTCATTCCATGGACGCACAGGGAGCGTTGAGGGAGGAAGGGACACCTGCCTAGCCAGCCAGATCAGCCAAATGAACCCTGCCAGTCAAGGGGGTGACAGACAGCACAGCCACATGGCCCTCACATCCCATGTGCTATTATCGGGAACCAAGGCACAGCTAGGTAGTGTAAGTTTCCCTGAGGTGACACTAGGCAGAGATGTGAACCCAAGCAATCTTGTTTCTTGAATTCAAGCTCTTAAAACACATTATACTGTCCCTCTAAGTAATACATTGCCATCCACTCTTTTCTCATTACCAGGAGAAGCTGTCAGTGTAGTTACTGTTTTTGATAATGCTACCCATTATCGGGTATGTCTAGCATGCTGCTCCCTTTTGCGTGATCCAAAACAAATGTTAATAAAACCTTGTTAATGATAAAGGATGTATTCTAGTTTCACACTCTTTAAAATAGCTTATAAAGGGCCTCCCTGGTGGCGCAAGGGTTAAGACTCAACCTATGAAGCTATCTGCAGCCACTGCAGCACAAGTTCGATCCCCGGCTGGTGAGGGAGCTACCCATATGGCGCAGCAGACCTCTCCTGACTCCCCTGCCCCTCCCCTCAGCAGTGTATTTCAGTCAAACTGCGGGTTCTGCTCCCCACTCTGCCTCTGGTGAATCCTCTCAACCCCCACATCTTTGGCCTGTACCCCATTTGTATGCATAAATAAATAAATCTTTAAAAAAATAAAATAGCTTATAAAGCTCAACTTTCAAAGTCCTTTTAAATAATGGTTGATATTTTTTAAACTAGCATAACATATAATACTGCACTAGGCTCTGACTATAAATTAAAAAATCAGATTTAAAAAGGGCAAATTAGAGAGTAATTGCTCAATTTACAAAAAAAAGATGTTTCTCCCTACAAAATATTTAGTCTTAGATTCCCTTTGAACAGCAAGTTTCCCTTGTGATTTAACAATTCAATTTTATTTCCAAAAATTCAATTTAGGCATAACTTTTCAGGGGCTATATATTAGATAAAGTGAATGACTATGCTCATAAGTATTAAACACAATGTATGTCCTCAAAGTAAGTAAGGCAAACTGAAGTTCAAAAACAATTCCTCTGAAAGAGATAAACTCCTGGCAATAAAATTCAGATCTGCTCTAAATGAAAATAAATGTGGAGAGTGAGATACTTTACCATTCCGAAAAAGTTCCAAGGCCTGAGCTTCCGGGTCATCCAAGGTGAAAGAAGTCATGAAAACACAAAGAGAGAGAGATTATGTACTTCAGTCTGTTTCTTCAGAATCATGGTACCTTGTGACTAACTTTTCATGCAGTTTCCTTAATACCAATTCACAGCATGTACTTTAATTTCTTCACAGAAGCCAGTGCATTATTCTCTCTGGTCATACTCTATTAACCAAGTTTTTGATTATTCATGGGACTTTGGCTCCCATTTACTTTAAATAATCAGCACTTTCCTTTATATTTACAGTTAAAAGGTTGCGTTATACCTAATGATCATCAGTTTTTAGGAGGTTAAAATGATATTTGTTCTTAATCTTCCAGATAAATACAAAACTCCTTAGAGTTTGTCAGACTAAGGAAATTTCTGAATTGCTAGCGACTCTTGAAGGAGCAAAGATGGGGGCTTATCTGTGATTCTGACCTTCCTCTGCCACTGATAATAGTCATTTTAAGTGTGTTTGTGAAAGTGTGCCTAGAGAAAGAATACAGCATGATATCTCAACCTTGGCTTTGAACATTTTGGACCAGATAATTATTTGTTATGGGAGAGGGAGGACTGTCCTATGCATGGTAGCATATTTAGCTATATCCTTGACCTTTGCTCACTAGATGCCAGCAGTACTTCTCCAATTTGTGACAACCAGCTATGTCTCAGGGCATTGCCAATGTCCCCTGGGAGCAGAATCTCCCGTGAGAAATGGGAGATGCTGAAAAAAAAAAAAATCAACGTTCATCCAAAACATTTACTCCTACAAAGCAGCAAAGAAAAGATCCTTGTTACCAGCAGTCCTGCAGGCTGGAGAGGGACCACTCCGCAATCTGTGGGAACCTCCAGTCATACACAGGGGCTTCTCCTTCACATTGGGGTTGTTCTAGAGACAGCAAGCTGACAAAAGAGGGTCACAGTTCCTCCGACTTTTTCAATACACTGAAGATGATAGAAGTACCAGTGGACTTAACTGACTTCTGTATTCTGCTGACCTTAGAAAAAAGTGAGATCATATTTGATGTCTTTTTCTTTGGCTGGAAACCTGAATTGGTCTTTCGAAATACAAAGTCTTAACAAGGATGATGGATGCTTTGGGCTTTAGCCTTTCTGTGATTAGGTGAGTGGAAATAGATAGGGACACTGTAGTCACCCTCTTTCTATCACCCTGAACACAATCACCTATTGTTTATGCTAAGAGAGCTCTTCCAAAAGTAGATGAAAGCATTGTGCTATATCTTGGGGCAGAATGAGAAAAGGAGGCATAATAAGATTAGCAAAAATCCAGAAGTTTGACCACCTACTGGTTTGGCAGGTGAAGACTGGGACAGCACATTTTGCCAGCAAGAATGTAAAACGGTACAGACCACCTATGGAAGAGGATTTGATAATCCCTAGTAAAGTTACAAATGTATTTATCCCTTGATCCAAAAATTTCAATCCTTCCCAAAATAAAAAATGAATTATGTGCAAAGTTATTCATCACAGTGTTATTCATAATAGTGAGAGTGGAAACAGCCCAAATAACTACAAAGAGGTGACTGCTTGAACAAACTAAGATAGAAACATACAGTCAAACACACCATGACTGTGAAAAAGAATGAGGGCCATCTCTCTGCACTGATGTGGAGCAATCTGCAGGGTATGTTAGCTTCAAAAACAACCAAAAACTAACCAAGGTGCATAACAGAAGAATATGCTATTTTTGTAAGAGAGGCAAATTACAAAAGTAGTATGCATATATTTGGGATGGGAGGAAACAGGTAGAGGAGACAGGCATGAAGGCAGACTACTCTGAATGGACCTTGACTGTATAGTTTTGATTTTAGAATCATGTATATATTTTAAATTTTCAAAGTTATTTTAAATCCCAAAGAAAAATGTAATTCCCAAAATTTAAAGCAAATTGAGGCAAGTAATTTAGTTTTATATGGCACATCCAGTAAACAATTAAATGACTTTAGAAAATAATTTTTTCACTTTATGTTCGCAATGGGATATAGTCTCGGGGTAAATAGACCTACATAAATTATAAATTTTATTCAATAGTCGTACTGCTCATGGAAATATAGATATTAGTACTTTGTAACTATTCTTACAAGTAAAAGCAAATATTAGATTTGTTAGGACAATGATTTTCAAGGTAAGTCTAATTCATGTAATATTAAAGTTGGATGGCAATAGTATGAACATGCTTTTTTCTTTTCAAAAGTATTTCTTATATCACAATAAGAAAAAAAAGCATTTACTTGCTTTGTGCATTAAAAAGTTCTAGCAATAATGACACTCTCAGCACCTTTAGCATTCATAGTACACTTTCAATACATCATTTCTTATTAAAAGGAATGAGGTTTGGGGCCTCCCTGGTGGCTCAAGGGGTTAAGACACAACCTATGAAGCTATCCACAGCCACCGCAGCACAAGTTCGATCCCCGACCAGGGAGCTACGCACATGGTGCAGCAGACCTCTCCTGACTTGCCCTCTGCTCCCTTCTCCCTTCAGCAGTGTTTTCAGTCAATCTACCTGTTCTGTTCCCCACTCTGTCTCTGATGAATCCTCTCACCCTCCACACCTCTGGCCTGTACCCTAGTTCTTGTATACATAAATTTATATATATATATATTTTTTTTTTTATTAAAAAAGGAATGAGGTTCTTTGGAGGGATGGTAGATATCAGGTCTGGGACAAGAAATGTCAAGATGAAACTGGGACACTCTGTAAATCAAGGAAGATATTAAAACCTAAAATCTAATGGAATAGGTCAAAGGGACAAAGGAATCAGCATAAAGGATCTCCCACTGGTTGAAAAGAAGTGAATCTGAGCATCAGTAAAGAGTAAGAACATAACAGAT